ACCATATATGGACATAAGTCATTAAAATGACCAAAATACCCCTCATAGCTTCCATTACTAAATTTTATTGTTTCGAATCATTCCCCATACAAAAATATGAATGTAGGCGAAACCGTGCGTAAATCCGAGACCGTATGCAAAAGTTATGAAGAAAACAATGACTTTGAGGTCAAAACTTTTCAAATCATTACCATGTATTAGAACTACAAACTCATTATTCGAATGGTTTGAGTTTGAGGTCCACCATGAAATGAGCTTGCATAAGGTTGAAGAACCCGAGTATATTATATGGTTTAAAGGGGCAATGGATTATACAATAGGTAAAGCATCCAGAAAAGTCTCATTGTAATCAATTTCTTCGAATTACTCTGTCCAAATGACAGTTAATTACTTGAAAAATTAAACAAAGTCCATGTCCTCTTTGACCAAAATTACCCATACCTATCTCCAAATCAAGAACTCTTATCCTATAATGAGGTCATAGATATGTCAATAAAACATAAACACTCCAATACTCTAAAATGAAACTTAAAATGCTTATCCACAACTACAATGGATATCAGTTTGTTAGCATCATTAATACTATTAGAGATCAATAAACTTGATGTGAATCAGACTTGCTCTATCAGATCAATAGTATATTGTTTTCCTTCCCTCTGCAAATCACATATATTCATCCAGTTAAGATAGATTTATCTACAATATCACAACCAATAGAAAATATCAATAATAACCCAAGTTAACCATAAAAAGAAAAATCCCTAAATTCAACATTTAATCCCCATTTTGGAATAAAAAACATTATGAATCATTCCCAAAACCTTTTTCTATGCAAGTTAAAACAACAAATAAATGCTTGTTGCAAATAATTTAACCAATAGGATGTGAAGTAGAGTACTTACAATCGTGGTTGACCAGAAAAATCCTCGGCCAAATTAGACAGATTTAACAGGTTCTATAGTTAAATCCATATGTGTAAAAGTGAAACCCTATAACACAAAATATTGATATGGAAAATCTAATAAATCTAGAAAACGATCAACAGATGACCAACACAAAAGAAGAAGAAGAAGAAGAGAAACTCGCCTGACCCATAATCAACTAATTGGTAAAAGAATCTCTTGACGACTTTGAACATTCTTTGAAAGATAAAAAAATCTTGAAGCCATAGTCACAAGAGCGAACTAATTACAAAAAAAGGACATAGTTTACCTAATCAATCCAAAGAGCAAACAGGTTAAAAGAGCGAACTAATTAGACGTCGGTTACCAACGGAGCAGGATGGAGATGCGAGAATCGATGGTTTTGAACTTCAAAAATCAATAAAATCTACGCTTAATAAAAGTAGCAATCGATTTGAAATTTAGAGGCAGTTACTTATTACTTGCTGGAGCAATTGATTTGTATCCCAAAAGATCACAGATTAAGTTATTGATTAGTAACAAAAATTATTCAAAATTGATACGGTCTCGTTAATTAGAATTTTAAGTTATACATGGGCGGGAAAATCATGTGGCAAAGAGAAAATATAGAAAACAGACATGTGCACCCCGTTTCGGAGTTGTAGCAAAGAAAAGAAGAGAAGAGAAAAGAAAATAAGGAGAGAAAAGAAGAGAAAAGAAAGGAAAAGAAATTTGTCTTTTGTGTTCCCGAATTGGAGAGAAGTGGAAGGAAAGTTAAACATTTTGTTCTTTCTCTCCAAATCCTTCAAAATCGGAAGGAAAGTTAGGAGGGAAAGTGATCCTCATTCCTTTAATGAAACTCGGGAACACCAATTTCTTTTACTTTCCTCTCACTTCCACTCATTTCCTTTCTTTTCTCTTCTTAAATTGAACTCGGGAACGGAGTGGTGGCATATCAATGATTTTTTATTAGAAGAGAAGAAGAAGATCTTGATTTGCAAATTGTATGTTGTTAGATGCCACAATAAATCATATTTTTCAATAAAGAAAATTCGTGTTTTTCCCACAGGTAGTCCCGAGGGGATGGAATCCTCCAATAAGAGTTAGCAGTACTGAACAAGCGAGTCATCGGTCCGGGGAAAGAAAAGGACTGCCTTTGAAAAAAGAAAAAAGCGGTTAGACTCTTGCTATAGATTAGAGCCTCTATCGTGCTATTCTAGACATACGTAGGCGACAAAGACAAGGGATCTCTCTCGCTGTGGATGGTTGTTGCTTGCGAGAAGCGTCTCTTCCACTTTTTCCTTTCAAAAGTTGAAATAAAGAAAGAATTTTTCCACTGGTATTCTACGCTCGATCTCTACTCTCCGAGGAAGGTCTAACTTTCAGGGTCTAAAACGGTTTTGAGAGAGAGTTTTTGGGTCTAAAACAGTTTTGAGAGAAAGTTCAGGGTCATATACATATATATATCATCGACAACTGAAAATCATTTCTTTCCTCTTCTTCTTGGATTCCTCAATTACACAAAGGAACTTACCTATTACAACACTGAACACTCGCAGACACAGACACACACATTTATACATAGATTAATAGATATAGGCGTCGTGTATCCTACGCATAGTATGTATGAATTCAGTGTATTGCTGGCACAGTTAAAGCGCTGATTCAGATTCTCTTCGTTAACGCCGGCGAAAAAACGCAAGGAGCTTGTTGAATTGAATTGTAGGTGTATGTGTATCAGTGTATGCACATAACGTCAGGGGAAGGGAAGAAGGATTGGATCAGGTAATGTGGTAGCAAAGATGAAGGGATTCGATCTGTTAAAATCTTCAAGTCTGGTAAAATCTGCCGGATTCGTTTTTGTAGCTCTAGCTTTCTTCTATTTCGGTAAACAATGGTCCGAAGATCATTATCAACGAGCTATCTTCTTCAATTCTTACTCAAACGCAACTACCAAAACCCCTTGGATCTCAATTTCCCCAAATCACAATAAAACCTTCGATATTATTTCTCTAATCAACAACACCGAGGAATCAGAAATTCTAGCTGATCATGCCTTAGCTCCAATTCCCCAATCAACTTTGCTTTCTCAGTCACCACCACCGCCTCCGCCTCCGCCTCCTCCACCCCCACCGCCACCGCCAGCAGTGCAGAGGTTAGGGTTAGTGGATGAGAATGGGGTAATGAGTAATGATTTTGAGGTGGGGGAGTTTGATCCGGACGGGATAGAAAATTGGAATAATGAGACGGAAGTTGCAGAAGGTGATAATGACGGAGTTAAGGTCACCATTAAGGTCCGGAAGTTTGGGATGTGTCCGGCGAGTATGAGGGAGTATATACCTTGTTTGGACAATGTTCAAGCCATCAATAGATTAAAATCAACAGAGAAAGGGGAAAAGTTCGAGCGCCATTGCCCTGAGAAAGACAAGGGATTAAACTGCTTGGTACCAGCTCCCAGGGGTTACAAACCTCCAATTCCATGGCCAAGAAGTCGTGATGAGGTAATCGTCTTCTTAATCTCTCCAATTCACATTCATTATGAAATTGAATACAGCTTTACACAGGGGACAACTGATACAGAATCAAGCATCAACTTGCTCTGTCTCTGTATTCATTTTGATTTGAATGAAATCATTTCCACACTGACAGGTATGGTATAGCAATGTTCCACATGCACAGCTAGCTGAATATAAAGGTGGTCAGAATTGGATTGTTGTAAACAAGGACAAATTTAGGTTTCCTGGAGGTGGCACACAGTTCATACATGGTGCAGATCAGTACCTGGATCAGATTTCAAAGGTATGAATATGATCTTAAAAGGGAAATTTCATACCATTTTGCTGCTTTTTCTAGCTTCCAGATTTACAAGAAAACCTCTGAAATAATGTTTGATGTGTGATGGTAGATGATTCCAGCCATTGGTTTTGGAAGGCAAACCCGTGTTGTATTAGATGTTGGATGTGGTGTGGCAAGTTTTGGTGCCTATTTAACCTCAAGAAATGTAGTAACTGTATCAGTAGCTCCAAAAGATGTACATGAAAACCAGATTCAGTTTGCACTTGAACGTGGTGTCCCTGCCATGGTGGCAGCTTTTGCAACAAGGCGGTTGCTTTATCCAAGCCAGGCTTTTGATTTAATCCATTGCTCAAGATGTAGAGTTAATTGGACTCGTGATGGTAACTAACTACTAACTACTAACTAACCCTTCATCATCAATCATCAATCACATAACACTTTCAAAAAATAAAAATAAAAATCTCACTTTTTAACATGTGGCTTATAAATGTAGATGGGATTTTGCTGCTTGAGGTCAACAGGTTGCTTCGGGCAGGTGGATATTTTGTCTGGGCAGCACAACCAGTTTACAAACATGAACCTCTTCTTGAAGAACAATGGGAAGGTAGTAATATTATGATATTATTAAAAAAGATATGTTTTTTTTAATATTTTTATATAAATCTCTCAGTGATGACCAACCTTACAAGTCGAATTTGTTGGAATCTTGTGAAGAAAGAAGGTTATATTGCAATATGGCAGAAGCCCCTTGATAATACCTGCTATTCAAATCGTGATTTGGGTACTCAACCCCCATTGTGTGAAAAAGAAGATAATCCAGATGATGTTTGGTAATTTTTTTCTTTTTGTTTTCACTTTTCTTGATAGATTTTTATTAAAATAAAAATCTAATTATTTTAATTTGTTGTTGTTTTATAGGTATGTGGATTTGAAGCCATGTATTGCCCGGCTGCCCGAGGATCAATCGGGAGCAAATATTACGAAATGGCCCTCGAGACTACATAATCCTCCGGAACGCCTCCACAGCATAAAGCTTGATGCATTTGTGTCAAGAAAGGATTTATTTAAAGCAGAATCAAAATACTGGAAAGAAATCATAGATGGCTATTTGCGTGGTTTAAACTGGAAAAAATTCAAACTCAGAAATGTTATGGACATGAGAGCTGGCTTCGGAGGGTATGTTTGTCTTTTCATCAATTTATTCATTTACTTAATAAAAGATTAATCATTTTTTTTTATTATTATTTTGGCAGATTTGCAACTGCCTTGATAGATAATCAAATGGATTGTTGGGTGATGAATGTTGTTCCTGTTAGTGGTCCAAATACATTGCCAGTTATTTATGATCGTGGACTAGTGGGAGTCATGCATGACTGGTAATAAAACCATTATTGTTCATTTTTATTAGAGTAATTTACATTTTTGGTCCCTGAGTATAGCTGATTTTTGCAATCTTGGTCCCCAAAAATTTTCTCTTGCAACCTTGGTCCTTGTTCGAACTAAAGTAGTCATTTTTAGTCTAATTTTTTCAGTTTTTGGTCCCTGAGTAGTGAGTATAGCTGATTTTTTCAATTTTTGTTTCAAAAAGTCTTATTTTGCAACTTTGGTCCTTATTTGATGGTTTGGTAATGTTTTTGGTTATTGTTTCAAGTAAAATGACTCTAGTTTATATTTGGCCTCAAAATTGCAAAAAATAGCTTTACTCGGGGACCAAAGTTAGTCATTTTATTTGGAACAGGGACAAAAAGCGTTACTAGAACCTCAAATAAGGACCAACGTTGCAAGAATCAGCTATACTCTAGGACCAAAAATGTAACTTATTCAGTTTTCTTGGAAACCAAGATTGGGAGAGGAAACCTTTTGGGACCAAAGTTGAGAAAATTAACTATAATGAGGGACCAAACATGTAATTTATACTGTTCCAATTTTGATAACCCATAAATTAAATATATTTGTTGACAGGTGTGAAGCATTTGATACGTATCCTAGGACATATGATCTCCTGCATGCAGCGGGTCTTTTTTCAGTTGAGCAAAAAAGGTAATACATTTTTTTTTTTTAAATGATTTTTGATTGTTTTTTTAACATGATTTAATTGTGTTTTTAATTATTTATCAGATGCAATATGTCTAGTATTATGATCGAGATGAATAGAATATTGAGACCTGGGGGACACGTGTACATTCGTGATTCAATTTTGGTGATGGATGAGCTTCAAGAGATTGCAAAGGCTATTGGTTGGCATGTAAAGTTAAGAGATACAGCTGAGGGACCCCATGCAAGTTATAGAATCCTGATTTGTGATAAACGCCTCCGTTAATTAATTAATCTCTTACAAAAAGTAAAAACAAAACTGGATATGTTTTTGTTATAATTCTTTCCTTTCGGTTTTTAGTTTTTACAGTTGTACAGGTACACATAGGTTTTCTAGTTTATTTTGTAAAGACTAAAACTATGTTGGAGATATTTTAGTTCTAAAACTAACAAGAAGAGAGTACTTAGTTCCTTCTGTCTGCTTGAAAAACAGATGACCAATTGCTGTTGTGAGATTTTAGGGTGTCTTAAAACTTAAACTGGTAATTAAATCAATTAGTAATTATCCAATAAAAGATTGAATGCGCTACAACAACATAAATGTAGGATTAAATAGAAAGTTTCAGCGTAGTGGTTTCTGTTCATCCTTAGTCTCGGTCTGCATATGCTACAACATGAATCAAGTAATGATTAAAAGCAGCAAACCGCATCATATGAACTCGTTCCAAGGTTATATGGTGGGTAAATCTAATAAGAGTATTAGTAATATATTTTGGATATGATTATAATTGCATAGATTGTTTTAAAGTTACAGGTTTAAACCTGGACCTACTGTATGAATATCAATATCTCAACTACTAGGTCTTGTTACGAGGACACCAAGTAATGATTAATGAGTTAGGATCCTTGGATATTGTAAATTTGTAATATAAATACATATTTTACATTATTTTAAGTATCATTTATCCTAGACTAAACTGCAAATTTGGTCCTTGTAGTTAGCAAAAAGGTGTGGATGGAGTCCAAAAGTTTCCAACTTGCACCACCGGTTTAAAATCACAAACTTTCTGCGGATTTGGTACCTGAACAATTTTTGAAACGACTCTTTTATCCTTTTCATTTGTTTTTAAAAAATTTCAAATCCATATTATTATTATTATTTTTAATAAAAAAGTAAACAAAACCCAACCCTCCCACCCCCACCCTCACCCAATCTTCCGTTCTTCATTCTCTCGTCTTCTGTTAGCAACTTAACGCCGGAGCCCCCGCCTTCTCTCCGGAGAGGAATCGCCAATGAAATCCACCATAATTTGTCGGAGCCTTCGGTGCACCCAAGACACCAAGAAGAAATCTCAGATCCGAACATTGATAGGATGCAGACCCTGAACTGGAACTCGTAGCAGCGGGATGGAAACCTCACCTTCATCTTTGTTATGGAAACCTAGATGGGGATGGCCGGATAGGATCAAGACAGAGGTATGACTGTCAGAAAGAGAGAGAGGGGGGATTGGGTGGATATGAATTCTTTTTTAATAATAAGTAAATTAAAATATATGTTTAAGGGGGGGTATATCTGTGATTTTAGGTTGGTTGTGGAAATTTTTTGGACTCCATCCACACTTTTTTTTTTTGCTAACCACAAGGACAAAATTTGCAGTTTAGTCTTTTATAGTATTAGTATCTTTCTTCTACTCTCACATCACATGTGTATTGTCTGTTAGGCTCTTTTTATGACAATCGGGTGGATATAGATGCTAACCCATACCCAATCAATGTTGCCTTTTGAAAACATAAACAATGTCCAAAAATCATCCCAAAAAATCTTTCAAAGTATTGACAAATTTAGACCTCTCATCTCATCTGAACCAAAATTCATACAATTGCAATATAGGACTAAGATGGATCAAAATCAATCCACCAACTCAAACCAAACCAAACCAAACCATCTCAAAATCTCTTTTCCCAAAAACACTCTCAACTATTTCTCTGATCTTGGCCTCCATATCTGATGAACTTGTTGTTGACTTTGAGAAGAAGACTGCCCCGTTGTTGTTGGTCTCTGGTTCACATTCCTTTGAACTTGACTTTGACTTTGACTTCCCACCAAAGGTCTCGGATTCATCATGTTCTGATACATAAAAGGTTGTTGCTGTCCGGGTGCACGTGCACCACGAGGATATACACCTCCTCCTCTGTGCACCTGCAAACCACCATTGCTGTTGTTACCGGTGTTCCTATATGGCAACTGCAAATGGGCCCCACCCCTAACATTACTACTACCAACAGGGTTTCTTTGAACATGTGGGCCCAGATTCATGCCATTGACACCACCAACAAAGCTTGGAACTTGAGATCTTGACATAATACTCAAAACTTCAGGCCTCACAAGAACAGCAAGTGGATGGGTCAGATTAGGAGAAGTCAGCTTCTCATAGCTGCTTTGAAACACCTGTGCAATTTTCATCAAATTTCTGTGCCCTACAGCCCTTGCACAATTCATCGGTTGCTCAAACGGGTCCTCGATCTATATCACCATTTCCACACTTATTTTTTAATATAAAACAGAGAGAGAAAGATAGGGGTAGAAAACGTACAAATAGTGCGTAAGTTTTGGGCTGCCATATCATATTTTTATCAATATCTTCCCATTGTCCATTATACGGACTAATCCCTTGTGTTGATGCCCTCACATTAATGTCACAAAACTGAAAAAACAAAACACATATTATTTAAAATCTTCAACAGAATAACAAATAAAAGCCAAACTTACCTTCTCAAGAAATGAAAGAAAAAGATCTGCTAACGAGCTTCTGTTAACCCTTCTTGACTTGTCTGATTTAATCCTGTTTATGCTCAAACTACATGCATCTTCAATGTTTTTTTCAGCAACAGCTCTCACACCTTATTGTTATTCAAAATTTAGTGTTAAGCCACATCAAAATGAAGGAAAACATGAGTTTAGTTTTTCAGGAAAATTGTGGAGAATAGCAATGTACTTCACTCTTGCTACATATGTAGGCAATGTACTTTATTTTTTATTTTTTTTATTAATAAAGATAGAGAAGTATGTTGCTATTTCCTTCATTTGGCCCTTCAAATATACATTAAAAGTTAAAATATACCGAAAAGGTCAGCAGCCATATTCCCTTGGTAAATTTCACTTAAAGGAGGTAGAATAGCAGGTTCGCAAGTCTGAAAAGAGAAACAAGTATGTTGAAAAAATGAAATGAATATTACAAAAATAAATATAAAAAGGTAAAAAAAATCACCTGAAAGTGAAATATGATGAGTAAGCTAAGGGAATAAGAATTTAAAGTCCCGGTTTTAGGATCATTAATACCATGTGCTTTTGCCCATTCTTTGACCTAAAAATAACAACAATACCACTTTAGCTTATCATAAGTTCTTGTTTACAATTGTATTAAAAATAAAAACATACAATCAAAACCAAATCACGAAAACGCCCATCAATTTCGTTTATCCAAAACAACATTTTAGACTTCATTTGACCAGTCAAATTGTTGATGGAAATATCACAAGAGATATTGTCCTTGTTGCTATCACATTTCAAGATTGGGACTCTTGCATGTGATATATATTTTATCCCATGAAATCCACCTGTAAAATAAAAATCCACATCATCAATACCATAAAAAATACAAATATTTATCAAAAGAGTAAAGTAGGTTGCTATTTCTTTCAATTTGGCTAAAACTTAATGAATAAAAAGCAAAATAAAACATACCTTTTCTTTTCAGAGCTTTTAGTACATCCAACAGCAAAGTTTGCTTGTGCTTTTTTCCAGCAGAAGAAATGTAAGATCCATTTGGTAACTCAATGGAAACATCTAAATCACCCCATCTTGTGAAAAGATTAGACACAAAAGAACCAAATGGCTCCACTGTAGCACCTCTAAGAATTTCCAAAGTTTCAATGACAGATCGAAGATCATTAATGATTTGAAATCGTTTTGACCAATCATCTTGTGTGGGGTTGACCACATAAAGAATGTCTGTGAGAGTAACTGCCAATGAATAATTGGAGTTCATCTTCGAGCTCCAAATGAATCAGAATCTTGTAGATATGACTGAAAACACATATAGAAAAGATTTTAACTTTTAAGAACAAACATATATACAAGAAACTAAATGAACATGGGATCCGATAACAATTGTTATATAGATTGGAAAAAGATACATTGTGATTCGATAATAATGAACATGCTAGAAAAGCATCAAACATTAATCTCCAAATCAAATCAACAAACACAAATTAACAACAAAGTCATAAGAGATAACATGCATTTGGTAGATTTGTATATGTATCAACTACGGGTTACAAAGTTAACAAGATTACCTGAGAACTTCAAAAGATCGGCTTCCTAGGGGAATTTGAGCTTGAAAAGAGTAGGCAAATGAATGAGAGGGGTAATTTAGGTAGAGAATAGCTAACCCTAAATTTATCTATTGAATTAGGTATACGCATCCGGCCCAACAGAAGAGGCCCATCCCAAATAGGAAACCCAAAAAAGATTTAATTCACGCGATCCGAATAGTAGATGGTTTAAATTTGACAAATACTGGATTTTGAATCACAATGCACATTAGTTTAATGAACCAAATTGTGGAAAATGCATTGCAAGGAATAAGCACAATAATGTACTTTGTGTAATCCATTAAGTTTGAGTTTGAGGGTTGTTTCACAAATTCTTTAACCATTTACACTATGCAATCTTGTTCTTAATCTCATTGCTTATATGAAATGCAACAAAATCATTTAACCATTTTGATTGCTTTTCAAGTACACATACACCTGGGATTCAATTTCTGAGCCCTAAAAGCAAGCTATGAGTCTGATGAATACTAAGAACAATAAACCACTTCCCATATGTGAACTAATATAGCAAAACAGTGTGTTATATGTTAAGTATTCACAGTTAATATACTAAATAGTAAATACCCATCCATTTCAGAAGAAAAGATTGGACAAAAAGTCATTTCCAAACTTCAAAATAGATCAAGAACAGAACCAGTATCAATTTCACATTCAAGAAACTAACAGATGTGGCAATCAATTTGAAGTTTGTCTGTTAAAAAAACAGATGGACTATTCGATCAACTAGGCAATTGCCAATTAGAAATTGTTATCATGCATAAATAAAACCATCAATGACAAACGAATTTCATACCATTATATATGATGAACGGAGAATTCAAGGTTTAACGCCGAACAGGATACAAGAGATTTGAATCTTGAAAGGGTAAACATCATCTGGGATTGCTTTGAAACATGCTAACAATAGAATAACGAAGTAGAAGGTACATCATATGGGGTTTTACTTTTACAGAGGGTCTTTAGATCAATAAAACTGAAGGGGAAAAGTGTGAGAATATGCATTTGGAAGAAAGAAGGGTTTTGTTGCGGCGGTGAAGAAAAGTTTGTGGCGAGTGTTGGGGGCATTAATGGAACGCGGGAAAGGATGGGGAAAGCGGTCAAATGGCCTGCCTGCCTCTCACATCTGGTTATGGCTGCTGATGTAACAAAGATTCCAAATCATGAATTAGGGTTTTTCCATTGAAATTATGAATGATGACTCTAGCATTTTGTAAGTAATGAAATATGCTATCTGTTAAAGTTTTGAATTTAATATTTTCAAAAGGGTTATTATCCTAAAAGCAATAAGATTTCGGTGTCGGTTTGAAAAAAAAAAAAAAAAGGATTATCACTTTTTTGTCGTTATATATATTAAAACTTGCCCGGCTTATGGTTCATAAGCCGGCTTCAAGTCTTCGGCTTCGGCTACAAGTCTTTATAGTCATCGGCTTCTTTTCCCACAGTCTCTCTGAGCCCGTCTCCGTCTTCCAAGATGCGAGACATCCTTCTACCTATTCCTTCCTATTTCTTGTTGGTTTAATTCTAGAAAAAATAGTGTATGAGTATTTTTGGAAACTTGCTTTTTATTAAGTTTATTTCTCGGTTTTAAAATATGAGTCAAATACTTTTTGTTTAGTAGAAATATATGACGTATGTAATCTTGTAATTCATTCGGAACCAATTTTATTTAGTAACTTTTACTTTGGCGCAAGCAGTCGAGTAATTCTCTGTTTTCAAAGTTTTCTTTTTTCATTGATCCCCTCTCCGTCCCTTTCTTCTACACTTCATGTTTCTGTTGTTTTTCCTTGCTGAACAAGGTGCATATTACAGTAGCCCCACTGATTACATTTGGTATTAGAGCTTGAACCAGGTAAGTCTATCACACCATAGATGGGCAGAAGAAAGATGGAACATCATCGCTTCATTACCCGATGTTGTCACGCAACAACTACGTCGTATGGGCCATAAAGAAGCACAAGATGTTTAGGAGACTGCGAAAACGAAGAACCCTCAAAACATCGTACATGTCAAGAAGGACAAGATGGCGTTGGCAACCATCTACCAAGGAATCCCAAAGGAAGCTTTGTTGTCGATTACAAAGAAGCAAACAACAAAAGAAACATGAGATACTCTTAAAGTCATGTATCTTGGAGCGGATAGGGTGAAGGTTGCGAAAGTACAAACCCTAAAGGTAGAATTTGAAGTTCTAGCCATGAAGGAAACAAATTTGATCGATGCCTTTGCGCTCAAGATAAATAACATAGTAAGAAACATCCGATCTTTGGGGGACACAATGGAAGAATAATATGTGGTAAAGAAGTTTTTGAGGGCGGTCCCAACAAGGTTCTTGCATATTGTATCATCCATTAAACAATTTGCGGACCTCGAAACCATGATGATTGAAGAAGTGATCAGTCGTTTGAAGACTTATGATGAAAGAGTTTGTGGATCTAGTGAAAGTGGATGAAAAGAAGCTACTCCTAACTCATCAAGAGTGTGTAGAAAATATGAAGAAAAGGAGTGATAACTCCAAAAACTAGAATAACTCCTATCGTGGTAACAACGACAACTCGCGAGGTCGTGGTAGAGGTCGGGGAAGAGGTAGAAATAACAACCAAAAAGGAGGATATTAAGGTGGTTGTTCAAATCAGCCTCGTAATGGCGACCGGGGAACCTCCAACCAAGACAAAAGTAACATTCAGTGTTATAATTGTCAAGATTACGGTGTAACATCCTGTTTCGAGAAGTTTCTTATTTCGGGATTATGGACAATAAATGGATCAAATATAGGCCTTGGGCTTAAAGGGAATAGGGTTTAGACCATATTGGATGTGGATAATATTTGTTATGTGATCCAAGCTCTTGGTTTGTGTTTTGGAGTCAAAGGGTAAAATGGGAAAAGTAAGGTTTCAGATTTCTTTCATGAATTAAAGATTTTACTTTGGTGTGTTTTAAGTCAAATGTAATTAGATAGAGTTGGGGGGCTCCTCAATACATTTCTATGCATATAAAGAACACTGAAAACGGAGTTGAAACGAAGAAGTTATGATTGTTGGAAGTTGGAGTGAAATTGGGTGAAAACTCGTTCTCATAAGGTGAGAAGTAATTCTCACGAAGTTAGGAGCCTGTTCTTACAAGGTGAGAAGTAATTCTCACGACATGAGAACTGTGCAGCCCAAGCCCACAAATTTTTAGGGTTTTCAAGGCATTTAAGGTAAAGATTCATGTTTTAAGGTATTTTCTTAGCCCCTATCGTATATAGAACCTCCTGCGAGAAGCCATAGCCTCCATTTTCAATATTTGAGCCTCCCCTCCCCTCTCTCATCAACTTTTGGAGTTTTTTTTGGTGGTTTTGGAGCAATGTTTTCATGCAAGATTGATCCTTGAAGCTTGGCAATTGAAGATCTCAATCTCCATCTACCTTCTAGACCTTTGTAAGTTATAAAGTTCCAATATTTATTTCTTTTCATCGTGGATATAAGTGTATTTGGTGTTTTGGTCCATTTTAACGAGTTTTGGGTGAGAGTTGAGAATAAAGTTTGCAACTTTATTACTCTCCTAAGTCTCAAGAACATTGTATGTTTCAGATCTGGAGTCCAACGCCTTTTGATCAGTTTAGAATGTTTTTTTGGACCTTATGGACTAGGAAAGTTTTGATCTTTTGTCTTCCCTTTCAGCCATGCAAGTTATCTTGGTCATTTAGGCCATTTTGGTGTATTAAAGTTTAGATCTTGAAAGCTTGAAACATTATTATGGATAAAGTTGGAAACTTTATGTTGGATTAGGTGTTTAACTCAATAACTAAATTGGTATATACTTGAATTATTAGCAAAGTCCTTTTGGGTTGCTCTCAACCCTAGTAATTAACTAAAATGCTTTTTGGATAGAGAGGCTGATTTATTGATCTTTTATAAGATTAATAAATTGCAATTAATGATTTATTAATATATTATGAGAATAACATATTAATTAGAAATATTATTGTTTAATTAAGAATTAATCATAAATAAATTAGAATTAAGTTTTTGTTTAATTGGATTAAGTAAAAATACAAGGACCTAAGTTGTAATTGTTCAATAGTTGAACAAAAGGGGGTTCCATAACCTTCCCCAAAGTGATGGACGGTTTTGGACGTATATTCTAGGGTTTCTAGAATATTATTATATTCAAATTAGGGTTTCTAAGGTTTCCTAGTTCTGTTATAAATAGGGCCTTAACCCTTCTCATTTTCGACCACTCCTTCTCTCAAAAGAACAACCAAAAAATCTCCTTTCTCCTTCTCTCTCCTCAAAGTAATCTAATTGCTAGGGTTTGGGTACAAATCATTAGATGCACAATATTTCTGGTGCTAGCTTCCAAGTCAATTCAAGAAGGATTTATTTGATTATTTACTATAATAATCAAGAAGGTATGTAAACCCTGAACCTTTTATGATTTTTGATTTTACTAGGTTTACATTAGGGTTCTTGATGTTCAATAGATTGTAGCATTTAATAGTGAAAACATAGATCCAATTAGGTTGCATGTGAACTTAAGAGTTAAGTTATTTTCCGCCACATGACTTTTGTAACCTATAAAACCCATCAGTGGTATCAAAGTCATTGTTTT